ACCCTGGAAGTGGTCGCCATCCTTTAAGACCTGCTACGTTTTTTATTTACTATTATTTTCTGAGACACACAAACAAAATCCAGTAATTGTAATTTACCTGTTGTCGTACAGAAATAAAGTTTGGATCCATTTCCCCACTAGGTAATAACTGAATTGAAGTTAGGTCTTTGAAAAATGCATTCTTCCCCTGAAGAGAAAGAAAAGACCAAAAAAACTGATGAGTACATTACTATTAAAGGCAAGACAAAAGATTTTAAAATTTAGTCATTTAATGGATAAGTCACGGTTGATGTTTCTTCTCCTTGAACAGTAACATTTCAGAATTTTATTCACTTAATTTTTATAATAATTATCTAGTATACGGTAGGCAGCCTTTAAGGTATGATCCCCTCCCCCTGCTATGCAGGCCTCGGGTTGTCCCCTGCCCTTGAGTGGGGGCTGGACCTGGTGCCAGCAGAAGAGCAGAGATGTTAGCGTGTCACTTGCCAGATTTGGGTGCTCACATTCACGCTCCTTGCCCTGAGGGAAGCCAGCACCCACAGCAACCACGGAAGCCCGCAAGTGGATCCCCCGATCTCCACCCCAGTTGGGCCTCGAGATGGGACTGCTGCCCCGGCTAAAACCCTACCTCAAGACTCCTGAAAGCCTTTGAGCCTGAGGCACCTAACTAAGGGGTGGAGGGCGGGCAGAACCCAGATTCCTGACCCAGGAAAATGGTAGTAAATGTTTGTTGTTTTCAGCCACTAAATTTTGAGATAATTTGTTATGCAGTAATAGATAACAAAGACGTGTGTGTACTCTGAATTCTTTTAAAAACACTTGTTTAACTCGGAAGTCATCTTTAAGAGAATGGATGTGTGTCTGAAAGGCGAAGCAGAACATCAGAAAGCTGGATTTCAGAACTTCCTTGGAAGGAAGTGTAACACAGAGCCAAGAACACCAGCCTCCGGAAGTTGCCAAGACCCAGCTTCTAGTCCCAGGCCCACACTTGCCACCATGTTATCTTGGACAAACGACCCCACCATCCCAGGCTGCTGTGTGTTCACCTGCAGACAGTCATCGGGTATCTTCTAACATATTTTCTAGACCCAAAGGTTATCCGTAGCGTGACTGCCAATGAGGATAAAGCTACTCATCCTTTAGTGAGGAGAAACAGCAGACTCCCTAGGGCAAGCCCCTGCATTACAGACATCACTGATTCAATTTTTCCACAAACTCACGCACAATTTGTTACTCTCTAGATTCCGTCCAGTGGTCTCAGTTATAATGAGGGTCTACCGTATGTGAGGGCCTCTGGGCGGGGAACACGTATGCACAGCTATCACAGCACCATTTGTTTACCATGTTCTCGACACCGCTCAGCACTTCGTGTTAAGTGAACGTAACCCTCAGAACCACCATAAAGCAGGTATTAGAATCATCACTTCTGAATGAGAAAACTGAGGCCGGGAGAAGCTCAGGAAGACTCGCCAGGAAATGGCAGAGCTAGGATTCGGTTTCACCAGCCAAACCCCACCGCCTCTGCACGTGAGAGTCCCACAGCTGTCTCGGGGCATCCTGGCACGACCTGGGCTGGGACTAACATCGCCACCGGGCTTGTGCAATACGTGTTCTGGTCTCACAAGCTCCCTGAGGGGACTACTGAGCTAGGCACGCGGTTTTAGTTTTTCTTTAAAGAAAAAAAATTTACCCTCTGCTTTTACAAACATCAAGGCAAGCTATAAACATTCATCCAGAATCTATGTTCACAAATGTAAAAACTATATCATTACTTTATGAGGTAGGTAAAAAGTTGTCATCAGCCTTCTACCTTTCAAAGGTCAACTACTGAGATTTAAACGTGAAAATAACTTTCTTAAAACATAGCTACTTCTGTTTATATCTACCCCCTAACTCAACACATCCAAAACCCCTCTACATGGGCTTCCTTGGGAAGCCACGAGCCTTCCAAGCTTGGGAGCTCATGGAACTGGGGCCCCTTCGTGTCCTGCGGCACTTTTCCCAGCCTGTCCTCATGGTACAGGTTCCCCCAGACCCTCCACGACTTCCTCTTCTCCCCAGTCCACACCCTCAGTGACTCATCGCTGTCACTGGTTCCCCAGACCACGGCCGCGTCTCCCCTCTTCTGCATCCTGCTGACGCTGACTCTTCTCTAACATCTCCTTAATTTTAAATTTATTAAACATTTACTGGGCTCCTGTGGCATGCCAGGCACGGCACAGAGCCGGGGGAACAGCGAAGACGTGGTAAGTTAGGGAGTGCAGAGCAAGACCTGGAGGAGAAGGTGACACTTAAGTGAGAAAGGGACAACACGCAGAAGCTGTGGCCACAGCAAAACCACGGTCTAGGAAAACGGGCCACTGCAGCGAGAAGAGCGAAAAGTGTCTGCCTGCTCTAGGGGAGGGGGTAGTCAGGAGTCGCTGCAGGGCAGGTGCACGGAGGAACGGGTGGAGGGAGGAGAGGCAGCCCCTGGTGCGGAGAGCCTTCCTCTGCCTCCAGCGCAGTAACGGGCCGGCGTCTCCCGCCCCACCCGCGCTCTCCCCGCTAAAGGGACCTGTGAATTCGGGACAAGCCGCTGAGCATTCCCTGTGTTCCTTCTTCAGGGGGCAGCCTCTGTGCAGGGAGCAGGAGCCTGAAGGGCAGCCCGCGCGAGTCCAGCCGTGCCCCAGGCACGTGAGTCACTGAGGGTGAAATACACCACTTTCCCACAAGGCTAAGCTGTGTTCTCCAACTCTGCCTCTGTCAGTGAAAGGCTAAGTAATAAAGCTGGCCAACCGCCTGACTTCTGATTTTCATCTCCAGCTGCCTGGATCCTGAGTAAATGTGCGTTCTGGAAAGGGAATTGTGGCAGCATGGGACTGGACGGAGAGAAAGCGAAAGACCAGAAGGCCTGAACTGGGTGATGGGGAGGGATGGACGGAGGTGGTTTCAGGAAGAATCGACGAGAGGGGCTCGAAGGGGAGACAGCAAGAGACCTTCACGGCTTCCCGTCCGCCCGGGCGCAGCCGGGGATTAGGAGGACAGCAGCGTAGGTCAAGGGCAGAGTGCGGGTGAGGGGGTCGAGACAGATTCTAGATATGAAGTGTCTGGGGTCGCACAGCACATTCTGAGAGAGACAGGATCCCCCTGAGTCACACAAGTACCGAGCAACTTCAAGTGTGAAAGATGAGTCTGGCTCCTCGTCCTGCGAGACCCTCGGCTCCGAGGTGGCTCGGGCGTCCTCGGAGGGACTTACCTTACTATCAAAGAGTGAAAGTGGCTTCACGGTTTTCAGAGAAAACCTCATAATGGCGAAGAGGATGGAGCACAGGACGGAATGGTGCTCCACCAGCGGGTAGTGGATGTGTTTCTGCTCGAAGGCCAGCTCCACGATCGAGATCGGTCCTTCGACGGCGAGCCACGCGTCCTCCGTATCCAGGACAGGTGCCTGCATTTCATCCCTGCTAACGTCAGCCTACGTGTTTTCAGAACAGAGAACTGTGTTCAGAACCGGAGAGATAACAGCTTGCAGACACGTTAACGAGCTTTACCAGTGGGAAGTACAAACCCCTTTTGTCCCCGCACCTCCGATTTACTACAACAAATCTAATCCTTTATAAGAAACCACTATTTTGGGGGCTTAAGTCAAAACTAAGAAATGAATAAATGAAAAAACTTTTTTCTCTAGTCCAATGATTTTAAAAACATTTAGGGGCGCCCGGGTGGCTCAGTAAGTTAAGCGTCCAACTTCGGCTCAGGTCATGATCTCATGGTTCATGGGTACGAGCCCCACATCAGACGCTGTGCTGACAGCTCAGCCTGGAACCTGTATCGCATTCTGTGTCTCCCTGTCTGTCTGTCTGCCTGTCCCCCGCTCGTGCTCTCTCTCTCAAAAATAAACACTGAAAAAAATTAATAAAAAAAAAAAAACATTTACTGTCTTAGTTCAGAATGCAAATACACCTCTTTTACCTCCATTAAAGTCTGAAGAAGATCCAAGCAGGAGCCGAGGAAAGAGGTCATTGCCGTGTCGCTCATCCCCACATCCTGTTGTTTTTTTTTTAAAAGGAACATAATTAGTGCCAGGAGCAAAGCTGCTACACATACTATCAGAAAAATAAAAAACAGGCCTACGCAACTGTCTGCACTGCACAGACAGGAAGACCCGGGCACATTTTATTCCTTTCTTGAGCGTCAACTAATTTTAAATCGGGCTTTAAAAATTATGGTACCACTATCAACTTTATGAAAGTTAGTGTCCTTCGTGTGTTGAAAGACATGGTGTCGTCAGACGCCACAGACGGTGGCACTCTGCTTGCGGGCAGGCTCGCTAAGGCACGTCACAGCCACCTGCGTGAGACCACACAGCCACACACACGACCCTGGCACGGGAAGACGCACACACGAAAGCCCCATCTGTCAGGTCGCGAGAAAACAACCTGCTCTGGTTTTGGAGCGTCCTTCAGGGACGGAGCTGAACCCTCTAAGCAAAACCTGAATCCTCGAGCCTGTGAACTAAACACCAGACCCGTGCTGTGGGCACCAGGCCGTTCCTCCTGACTCCAGATTGACCCACAAGGTGCCTGGAGTCAACATAAACAACCAACCAATAAGCCCCTCACATCTAAGGGATCCAGAGTGCACACAGGTATAACTGTAGCCACAGAGCCACTCTCGAGGGCACAGCGGAAGAATCTTCGACGGTGGCGGCTTTTCAGGGCTGTGGGCCTAGAACGGCTACATGCACGTGCCCCGTTACTTCCTAAGGTGTTGCAATAAGAATACTTCAAAGCTTCAAGCAAAAGTCTGCACTGTTAATCCCTGGCCTCAAACAGAAGCCCAGTATCCGTGGGCTGGAATGTTGCTTAAGGCTATTCGTACAATGGTTGTTCCATAAAGGTGGCTACGTTCGCTCGTGAATCTGCCCCGACCGGACACTGGCTGCCGCCGTCAGGAAGCGCAGAAACCACGCGCGGCAAAGCCAAGACGGCCTGGCGCCCTCCCATCCACGGTCCAGACTGAAGACACCTTGTGAAAACTCACCTGACACAGAGCATCTGACAACCTGGAAAGGTCAATTAAAATCGGCCGCAGTTCGTGACCAGTCTCCTTAGTATCACACTCTCTTTCCACCTTTATCTCCTGACAGGTCACCAAAATGGTAACAAAGGCAAAGTTCACCCCTGCCTGAAGTTAATAAGGCACCTACGTAAAGCACAGGATTAACTATACATCCAGTTAAAGGAGATTCACTTACCCTTCGGCATAACCTATCCTTTGGTGATTTTCCAACCTAAGGCAAAAGGACACAGAATACTATATTTATTTAACAATTGAAAAAAAAAGGCATTACTATGGTATAGGAAATAAAAAGTAACGAAATTTAAAGAACCTAAATCGAGCTATAAATAAATGTTGGTTCTGCTCATTTAACTTTGTGGTGGAACTTAAAACATATATTATGAAAATATGTCACGCTGGGCCCCCAAATAATCCTTTCAAAAATAAATATTTTTGAACTATTAAATAAAAAAAGAACTCTAAAAATCTGGTGATCAATTTGTACAATCGAGTAACTGTGTTGCCTTCAAACCCAGAACAAAACTCAAGGTTATGAATAAAGAGCAGCTAAGAATTCTGCCTGTTGATAAAGACACACGATAATTTTTTAAATGGTAAGGAGAGACCATCTAATGCAGACAGAAGTTAAATTCCTAGCTCAGAAAACTGGTTGATTTTCTCGATTCCGTAAGCACGGAGATTCCACCGTGCACTTTACCCAAGTGATAAGTGGGAGCGGAAAGTTCTGCTCTTCAGGAACATGCCTTGATCAGAATTCACAGGAGGCAGTGGTAAGTACCAGGGATGGGACTCCAGCACAAAGGCCGCTTCACCTCGTTGCCGCTCCTGAGATCACTGCCATGGCCTTCACACGACCAAGCCCAGCCCGTCCCAATCCCAACATTTCACCCTGTTGCCTGCAAAATGCAAACCTGAACCTATCGTTCCCCTGCGTTGAGCTGCCCCAGTGTCTTCAAGACAAAGAAGGGCCACCACTGACGACCCTCCCCCTGCCGTATGTGCCCTACGCTGAGTGGTCTACACGTACCATTAGAAAACCCCAAATCCAGGGCCTACCCGGGAAGTACTTCATGCCCTGCTTCCTGCACTTTCCTAAGCCTGCGCTTCAAGCACACGAAGCTACTCGCAGCTCTGATTCAAAAACACAGCCTCCTGTGTCCACGACTTTGTTGTTAATGCCTCTTCTTCTCACCCACTGCTTCGTACGTACTAATCTTCAAAATTCAGCCCAGAAGCCCTCCCTCTGGTCTGTTACTTACTTCCTCTTCTCCACTCCAAAGGCAGCCTATGTACCCTGTGGACTGGGAGTCCTCCGAGGGCAGGGACCGGGGCTTTTAGCTCTGTGGCCATAGAACTTAGCACAGTTCTTGGCACAGAAGAGATACTCATCATAATCAATACTTGTCAAATGACTCATCAAAATTCTCTGCCTCCTCGTTCAGGACTGCTCAAAAAATTCAAATCCAGGTTGTGAGGCTCAAGCGTGACCGGGGACGGGAGAATGCTAGAACACTAAGCAGTAACATACACGCAGAACTCTTGCGTCACTATTCTCCCAAAAGAGCAGCGGTCGGAGGTGCAGGTGAACAGAACAGGATCAGAAAGGCCATAGGAGTGAGTTTCGAAAAAGAAACATTTAAGCAGGCAAGGAAGGTGAGCACACAGGGAAAAACAGGTGTAACTAGAAAAACATGTTACCGGTGACAGGAGCTGTGGCCCAAAGTGGGTCTGAATGTAGCGCTGCTCATGGCTTAGGAACGTCTGTCACCGACATCAGAAAGAACATGTTGTAATTACAGCGGTAACTCTCCTGACATCCGCTTAACTGAGCCACATGAACCTCCCTCTGGACGGGCCTGGGGACGGTGACGACGGCCTGGCGCCCAGCTTGGGGACAGGGCCCCACCAGCTGCAGTCTTTGCCCAGGTGCTGGGTTTGCTCCCAACGCTGCTCACGCTGGGTGTCATATGTAATGTCGCAATTATGCAACTTAATGAAATAACTGATAAAACGTGAGGAAACAAAGGGAGTTGTTTATTTAACTACCAGGTTGAAGGCTTTCAAAACATTTGTGGAGATTTAACACCGATGTCTACTGGATTAGACAGAGGGACAGCTACAAAGATGAGGGCAGAGCTTATAAAATCTAAACATTTTGCACTCAGACTGCATCACAACGTTAAAGAATCAGGATCTAGAAATCACAGGCCAGGCATTAGGGGTGAGGTTTACGTAGGAAAACCAAAGTAGGGTGGCAGTCCTACTCAAAGAAAATATCTTAGCCCTATATCCAAAGATTGATGAGAAACTGTATATTTGTACACTTCAATTTCAGCTCCAGTCATGACCTCATGGTTTGTGGGTTCAAGCTCCGTATTGGGCTCTGTGCTGACAGTGCTGAACCTGCTTGCGATTCTCTCTCTCTCTCTCTCTCTCTCTCTCTCTCTCTCCCCTCCCCTGCTCACGGGCTCGTTCTCTCTCTCTCCCTCCACTCTCTCTCTCAAAATAAATAAGACTTAAAAAAGTTTAAAAAAAATAATAATAAGGTGCGAGGCACCTGGGTGGCTCAGTCAGTTAGGCGTCTGACTCCTGATTTCGGCTCAGGTCATGATCTTGCAGTCATGAGATTGAGCCCCGTGTCCAGCTCTGTGCTGAGCACAGAGCCTGCTTGGGGTTCTCTCTCTCCCTCTGCCCCTCCCCCACTCCTTCCCTCTTTTTCTCAAAATAAACATTAAAGAAAAAGTGCAAATCCCTGATTCAACCACGAGTCTTACTCTCTTTGCTTAAGGAGCTTTTAAAGTAAATTACTTTCAAGGACCTGAGGTTCTTCTCCAGGTCATCAAGATGCCAGCATGGGAATTACGTTTAACTGAGCATTAGTAAAATGTAATACCAAACAAAAAAGTCTAACAAGGCCCATGGTAAGTAATCTTTCTAATATTAATTAAGGGAACAAAATAAACAAGTAGATGACACTTAAAGTGACCTTACCTTATCCATCAAGTATGTAGCAGCAGAAAATCTTTTAACCAAGAATGTATTCCACATCATCAGTGCAATACCTAGACAGCAAGTAAAAGCGGTGAGTAGAAAGCTGATCTATTTTCCCTTTCACCACACCTAATAAACTACTGTCTTCCTTAAACTTATAAAGCTATATGGGCTATTTATTTACATATCGTTTCTTACATCTTATGTAATACTTGTAAAATTACCAAAAACCTTGATCTTCAACAATAATCAGAACTGAGCTGCGTAAGAGGATATCCAAAAGGCTAATAATCATAAGAAAAGATCCACATCATTAGTTACCAGAGAAATACAAATTAGAACCACAAGAAAATATCATTACACAAACAACACAAAGGCTAAAATTGTTTTTATTTTTTTTTTAATTTTTTAATGTTTAATTTCGAGAGACAGAAAGAGAGACGGCACGAGCAGGAAAGGGGCAGAGAGAGAGGGACACACAGAATCCAAAGCAGGCCCCAGGCTCCGAGCTGTCAGCACAGAACCCAATGCGGGGCTGAAACTCGCAAACTGTGAGATCATGGCCTGAGCCGAAGTCGGACGCTCAACCGACTGAGCCACCCGGACGCCAACAAAGGCTAAAATTGTTTTTAATGACAGTGCCAAGTGTTGGGGAGCATGTGGAAAAAACTGGAATGCTCATGGATTGCTGGGGGCATCACAAATTGCAAAACTGCTTGGTCACATCTACTAAGCTAACCGCGTGTCTGCCGTATGGCCCGGGGACTCTACTGCACGGATGAACACGAAGACCCGTACAGGCGTGTTGAGAACAGCTTTGTTCAAAACAGCCAAACAGGAGAAACAGCCCCGTGTCTAAAACTGATTTTTTTCATAAGCAACCACCAAATAAAGTGTCATGTAAGGAAGTATTAAAAAAACAAAACAGAATACAAAAGACACCAAGCAAGAAATCTGGGCTCTATACTTCCATATACAATAAACCATGGCATCAAACTTTCAGAAACAGTGGTCAATTAGGCGACTTAAACATGACATTTCCCATGCGGTCACCACTACCCCCTTGTCTGCTTCTGGATGTAAGGGTGAGAAGCCAGGAAGCTGACAAACGGGTAAGTTCTTACTTAGCTACTAGCCGGAAGTTAGCAGTGACTTAATTTTATCAAGAAGGAAAGAATTCTATGGAGACCTTGTTTTCCAAATGAGTCATTTCTCTTTTCTCTTTGGAAGAAGGTCAGATCTAAGAGACGAATAAATAAAATTTTCAAGTTCTCTTCACATAAAATGAGACAATTTAGAATTTCTGCAACTTGACGTCATACCACTGGGAGAAGGCGGTACCATTCTAGAAGAGACAAGGAGCTTCTCTAAAGTTCACCACACAGACATCAAGATGACGCCTCCCTCTTACGTGGCCCAACTTCTAGTTTCCCCACTTACTTATTAGTAAAATAACTAGCCTCGTTCTGAGCTGTTACATTAATTCTTCCAGGGAAACCCAGCTATCCATTTAATGGAAACAGCAGCCTATCTGCAATTTTTCTACAACAATGTGTGACATTTTTTCAAGGAGACATCAGCAGTCCCCACGGTGTGGCAGCCACCAGAAGAGTACTCACAGGTGCTGAAAGCAGCGCCAGGGGCACCTGGGTGGCTGTCGGTTCAGCACCTCTTGATTTCAGCTCAGGTCGCGATCTCCCCGGTCGTGAGATTGAGCCATGACAGTGCAGGGCCAGCTTGGGATTCTCTCTCTCTCTCTCTCTCTCTCTCTCTCTCTCTCTCTCTCCCCTCCCCTCTCTGTCCCTCCCCCCGCCCTCGCTTGCTCTCTTGTGCACTGTCTCTCTCAAAATAAATAAACTTAAAAAAAAAAAAAGCACAAGCTGTTTTGTAGGGTATATATGATTAGGCTCCTGGCTCCCTAACTTTGTCATCAGGAACTGCAGTCCTCAGAAGCCCGGCCCTCCTTCCTCATCTACCTGTGACCTAAAAAGAAGAGCAGTGATTTCCGTACAACATTCTCCTTACTCACTAGGAACAGCTGGGAAACCGGTGGGCGGGGACAGTGGGGAGAACTGTGGCCACCCCCTCCTCCCCTTCTGGAGAGCATTTCTCCCAGCACTTCAAACAGCCAGGACTTGTCACATCACAATACACACTCAGTTACAGGTGAGATTTGAACTATCAAATGAAAGTTTAACAGAATGCGAACTTAAAAGATTCCTGCTTCTTTTGAATCAACCAGTTATGTTTTTAACACCTATTTACTTACCATTCTGAACATGTGCATTAAGAATGTGCTTCAAGTGTTCTATTGACCTAACGAAAAAACGTGCTTCCTTACATACAGGGAGAAAAAGAGAGAGAGAAAAAAAACAGAAGTATCATTTAACAGATGTTTCAATATAAATGGTAACTTTTTACATAAATTTCTGCATAAAGCTACCCAAGAATGCTGTGATAAGAACATAAAATCATTAGGTAAGAAGTAATTTTTCATAGGATAGTATCAATGGTATCTTGAAATACACATGATCTACATAATGATTGATTCCTAGAAACCCCCAGGTCATATATGCTGACATCTGGAATCAAAATTTTCTGTGGTCTGTATATAACAGCAGTATTTTCTCCAATACTTGAATTTCACAAGGATGTGAAAACCAGTGGGTTTACTTCTTTGCAAATATCATTCATTCATTATTCACCAAATATTTACTGAGCAACTACTATATATCACGGTGCCTGAGGCGCCAGAGATACTGCAACGAACAAACAGACCCGAATCCTCGGGGAACGTAACCACTGAGGCTACGTTCCAGCGAGGGAGCCAAGTAAATATGGTGTGTAAATTATACAGTATGTCGGTGATATGTGCCAAGGAGGAAAACCAGAGCAGTGAAGGGAAACAAGACCTACTGGAGGGGATGGCTGAATTCAACCTTCTAATTGAGGTAGTTGCTTACATAGTAAACACTCAAATATAGCATGCGAAACTGATGAAATTATCCGGACCTTTGCTCAGTAACTGTATGGCCTGTATAAAGATTAAATATATCACCTTTGCCAACACATACCGATGTTCGAGACTTCCCAAAGGTGGGGCGCCTGGGTGGCTCAGTCGGTTGAGTGTTCAACCTCTTGATTTTGGCTCAGGTCATGATCTCAGGGTCGTGAGACTGAGCCCCTGCATCGGGCTCTGAGCTAAGTGCAGAGACTGCTTAAGATTCTCTCTTTCTCTCTCTCTCTCTCTCTCTGTTCCTCCCCCCTCACGCTCTCTCTCAAAAAAAAAAAAAACAAAACAAAACAAAAAAAAAACTTCCCCAAAGTAATTTCAGTTGTTTTGATCCTAATAAAGCTGTGTGCATAAAATGGTGGAAGAAGGGTAGGGGTCGGATGGGGTAAGGAGGGCTATTTGATCAGAAAAAAAAAAGACGAGAAAAGCGGCCACTTATTTGAAATGTAAACAATTTCAATAGACAATGATAACATTAATCAAAGTGTCAGGTGCTGTGTATGCACCTTCTCTATAAATTGCCACAACCCTCTGAGGTAGCCCTAGTCCTCATGTACTTTTAGGAGAAAAGCGAGAACAAAGGGTTCAGAAATGTTCCCAGAGGTCACACAGCTGTTAATAGTGGCAATGGGCTTGACCTCAATTCTGTGTCTACTCTGCAAGCTGCCTTTGGTTTATAATGAATAATGTATAATGAATGATGTAAAAACAGTTGTTTTTTCTTAATTTTTTTTTGATGTGTATTTATTTTTGAGAGAGAGAGAGAGAGAGAGACAGGGTGAGCTGGGGAGCAGCAGATAGAGAGACAGACAGAATCCAAAGCAGGCTCCAGGCTCCAAGCTGTCAGCACAGAGCCCAACACGGGCTCGAACTCATGAACCGTGAGATCATGAGCTGAGCCAAAGTCAGTGCTTAACTGACTAAGCCACCCAGGCGCCCCAAAACAGTTTTCTTAAGTATCACTTTCTTAGACCCGAATCTGGAATTAATTTATCCAGATTTTAGAAATTATTATGTCCTTACTATAGCCTTAACATTCTTTTCTCATGTAAGAAAAATATTCCATGTAAGGGGAGAGCCCGAACACAATTATCACTCAGACTGCAGAGGAGTCCACAGAAGAGGGTGACTCAAGGGTCATCAAGACGGTCCGCTGTCCTAAAATCACTTTTTGGTCAAGGTTTAGTTGATCAAAGGCCATTCCTTTGCTTAAAGCACTTTCTTTTCTAAAGCTCTTCCTTGAATATGTAATTGATTATGTATCAAAGACCATTTTTTTTGGAGGAAGAATATGATTACCATTAAAGTACTGGTGTGGATGAGTTCATCAGTGAGATGTTTCTTCAAAAGCGCAACCTGATCCAAGGGCGACAAGGTGTTAATTTTGCTCTGAGGAGGATCATTTCCCGGAGCGCTGACAAGGGGGACCTACGTGAAGGACTTACTGGTAAAGAGGAATAGCCATCCTATGTTTGGACATCTTACTTGATCCTGGCATCAACCCTGAAGGACTGGCACCTTTATTAAAAAAAAAAGGTGAAGGGAGAAAACAACCGGTCCAGAGATTCAGCGGCTGGCCCGAACCCAGACACTTGTCACAGCCATTCATCTGGGATCCAAACCAGGGCTCCTGCCCCCAGGACGGGCCCTTCTCCCGTTCTGCTTCTGGACTGTGAGTGTGCCAGGAGAGAAGGTGGCTACCGCGAGCGGGAGAAAAGAGTGTCCAAGCAGAGAGGAGAAAGGGCAGCAAGGCTAACCCCGGACTGAGTCGGCCTGGACGTGACTTTCTTGATTTTTCTTCTGAGGCAAACGTAAGAGAAGTGACAAACACGGGCTTTCTAAACAAGCAGACACTAGGTGAACGTCAGGACCTTTACCCTGGCTTTCATCACAAGGACTACAATGTTAAAACGTTTCCACTAGGTAGGTGCTGTCTCCTGTATGAAATCAAAAGGAAACAACTCTACTCATCACAACCCAACCAGGAGTGGGACAAAACACACTGGCTTTAAAGACAAAGAAACCCAGGCTTAAATCCGGGCCCAGACCCCAACTTGACAAGGTATGCCGGGGCATGGAACAGAACTTCTCTGAGCTCTCGTCTTCTCTAGAGTGGGGATCGCGACAATGTCCGCACCACACAGGTTTTCTGTGAAGACTGTAAGCGATCATGAAAAAGGCCTAGCACCGCTCCTAGTGTGGAGGCATTCCAAAGGGGAAAGTCCAGTGTTTCCAGTAAGTTACTGAATTACACATTCTCACAGGTGCACGGCATGAGCACGACGACAGAATCAACAGGACAGAAGTAGCAGGAATCTTACCTCTGGGTCTTTATTCCATTGAACAACATACTCCCAACAACAATGCGCGTAGAGCACATCTAGCTCAAGGCTACAGGGAAACTGCCTATAGGCTGAATGCAGCAAGTCTGAAAGCCAGAAGAGAGAGACGTACTTAGTATTCTTTCCCTAACAAAGTCTCAGCCACATCTCCCCCTCTCTGGATTGTGTTTTCTCCGTGTTTCTGTGTTACCTGGTATAGTTCCGAGGTTCGTCTCCACCTCTGGCACCTCATATAAACCTCTGTTAATACCTTCTTTGGGTTCATCTGGGTTTTCTGCATCTCTGTCCTTATTAGCCAGTTTTAACACCTCAGGGCTGAAGTCCTGTTTAAATATCCACTTGGCTACACTGTCTGCAATGCCACCTACAGTTTGGAGACAAGAAACAAAATGAAAACTTACCGTGTTCGCCAAAGAGAGCCAACACAGTGCACGATCTGGTCTTCCTTATAAAGAGATCTAAGTGCCACATTCAGTTCTGCACCTGAGAGTGACCCCCAAAAGCCATGAGATTCACCAGTGTAATACCTACCATTCATCTTGTGAGGGCAGGTGGGATATCTGATATCTAAGGGCATCTCTATACTCTCATAAAATATTAGAGAAATGTAAATGCATTCACATATTCGTGGCTATATACCACGTGGTTTCTATGTCCACAAATTCAAAGTATACTTTAACAGACACAGATGAAGGGATGAATATATCTTTAAAACACTTCCACTTAATTGTAAGTGAAACTGATCAGCATAATACTTGCCTAGGTTCCTTAGCATATTACTTTTAATAGTCAACTAACTTGCCTATATGGAATATTTATGGGCAAAACTTAGCCATGTATAAGAAACATGATGTTATCCCAAGTTTCGGTCATCAATACACTTCAAAAAAATTATAAATGTAATCTGAAAAACACTCAAGAAAGGTCCTGTTTATTACTTAAAACAAATTATACACTCTTCTATAATTCACCAAAACCTATCTTTCTTCCTACTTGGATTCAAATACAACCTTTCCAAAAAAACAAAAGTTTCACAGTAAAATCACAATTATCAGTGAAAATAAATGACAGCAGTAGGCTGAGTGATCTAATTTCTTATGTCTGATTTCCAAATCAACTGGTAATTTTCATTCTAGAATCAAGCCCTTGATCATATTGCTTAGGTTAGTATCACAGTGATGGTCCTACACTATCAGCAGGTGACAGCATAGGGTATAATGAGTTACAGTTAAAAATTTTTTTGATTTATTTAAACTTAAAAAAATAAATAAGAAAGGTTTCCATCTGCACAGAGTATTTTTTCCCATCCCTTCACTTGCAGTCTCTGTGTCCTTTCAGCTAAAGTCAGTCTCTAGGCAGCATATATAGGTCTTTTTTTTGTTTTCTCATCCATTCAGGCACCTGATGCCTTTTGATTACAGAATTTAGTACATTTATAATTAAAGTAATTACTGATAGGTATACGCCTATGGCATTTAATTGCTTTCTGGCTGTTTTCATGGTTCCTCTCTTCGTGCTTTCTTCCTCTGTGGCTTGATAACTTTCTTTGGTGATATGTTTATACCCCTTTCTCTTTCTCTTTTGTGTATTTACTATAGGTTTTTGCTCTGTAGTTACCATGAGCTTAGATATAACAACTTGTGTCTGTCGTGGGCTATTTTAAGTTGATAACAAGTTTGATCCTGTTGGAAAGTTCAACATAATGACTCTCTGGTACCACACTTTATATTTTTGATGTCACATTTCACATCTTTTTATCTTGCATATCCCTTAACTATTATAATCATAGTTGTCTTTGTTTTTTTTTTTTTAATGTTTTTATTTTATTTTTTGAGACAGAGCATGAGGGGAGGGGTTGAGAGAGGAGACACAGAATCCAAAGCAGGCTCCAGGCTCTGAGCTGTCAGCACAGAGCCCAATGTAGGGCTCGAACCCACAGATGCAAGAGCATGACCTGAACCGAAGTCAGATGCTCAACTGAATGAGCCACCCAGGTGCCCCTTGTATTTACTTATTTTTTTTAATGTTTATTTATTTTGAGAGAGAGAGCACGTGTGTGAACGGGAGAGGGGTGGGGGGAGGGTGGTGGAGAGAGACAGAATCCCAAGCAGGCTCTGCAATGTCACTGCAGAGTCTGACATAGGGCTCGAACTCACGAATGGTGAGATCATGACCTGAGCCAAAATCGAGAGCTGGATGCTTAACTGACTGAGCCACCCAGGTGCCCCTCATAGTGGTCTTTTAACCTTCATGCTAGCTTTATAAGTGATTACTCCGCTACCTTTTATATATATATATATATGCCTTTCCAGTGAGATTTATTCTTTCACGTGTGTTCTTGTTAAGAATTAGTGCCCTTTCTGGGGCGCCTGGGTGGCGCAGTCGGTTAAGCATCCGACTTCAGCCAGGTCAGGATCTCGCGGTCTGTGAGTTTGAGCCCCGCGTCAGGCTCTGGGCTGATGGCTCAGAGCCTGGAGCCTGTTTCCAATTCTGTGTCTCCCTCTCTCTCTGCCCCTCCCCCGTTCATGCTCTGCCTCTCTCTGTCCCAAAAATAAATAAACGTTGAAAAAAAAATTAAAAAAAAAAAAGAATTAGTGCCCTTTCTTTTCATCTTATGGAAGTCCCTTTAGTGTTTCTTATAAGGTCCGTTTAGGGCTGAAGAATTTCTTTAGCTTTTGCTTGTCTGCAAAACTCTGTCCCTCACTCCTGAATGATAACTTACTTACCAGACAGAGTATTCTTGGTTGAAAATTTTTTTTCTTTCAGCACTTTGAATATATCATGCAACTCCATTCTGGCCTGAAAAATTTCTGCTGAAAAATCTGCTGACAGTCTTATGGGTGTTCCCTTGTACATAACAAGTTGTTTTTCTCTTGCTGCTTTTAATATTCTCTCCTTGACTTTAATTTTTCACATTTTTAATAATAATGTGTCTTAATATGGGTCCTTGGATTCCTCTTACTTGGAATTTTGTCAAATTCCTGGACCTGGATGTTCCCCAGATTAGAGTTTTTAGCCATTTTTTCTTCAGGTAAGATCCCTGCCCCTTTCTCTCTTTTCTCCTTCTGGGAGCCCTACAGTATGAATGTTAGCCCCTTTGATATTGTCCCCTAAGTCCCTAAAGCTATCTTTACCTTTTTTTTTCCTTCATGTTTTCTTTTTGCTCTGAGTTCCACTGCCCTGTCTTCGAGTTCACTGGTCCTTTCTTCTGCTTCATCTAGTCTGCTGCTGAAACCTTGTAGCGGATATGGAGTTCAGTTACCATATCATTCAGCCTCGTGACTTCTACTTGCTACTTTATTCTCCATTTCCTTGAAGTTATTCCCGTATTCAGCCATTCTTCTCCCCAGTTTGGTGAGCATTTTTACGATCATAACTTTGAACCTTTTATCAGGTCAATTACTTATCTCCATTTGATTAAAGCTTTTTTCCCCTGAAGTTTTATCTTTTTCTTTCTTTTGGAATATCTCTATTTCTTCATTTTGCTGGACTCCCTGTGGTTTCTACACAGTAGATGGAACCACCTCTCCTAGTCTTAAAGGAGTGGATTTGTGTAGGAGATGAAACTTGTTGTTCAATCCTGCCTTGGCTCCTGGCTGGCCCTCAAGCCTCTGTGCTTATCCAAGCAGCCTATTATATTTTTAACCACTTCTAGTAGTGGAGGACATACTGAGACATGCCAGTGTCCCAAAAGGGAGAATCTTAACACCTCAATTCAGGCTGACTGAAGCCAGAACCTCAGGTATCAGCTTTTGAAAGTACGCAAATATATATAGTCTTGTAGGCCCACAAGCATAAACCCCACCGGCCACCAGAGTTAGGAGACCTGAGATGTCCCCCAGGTGGCAACTGCAAAACTTAGGGCTCATGAGTGTATAAGCTCTTTCTGGGTTATAATGACAAACTGGGACAAGGCAGAAGGCGAGTGCCAAGATGGCATCCACAGCCTATGTTCCTTCAGAGCAGCTCCATAGGCCACTTAATATGTGCCAAACCGAAAGCCTGCCTCTCAGGTAGACTTGGGCTTATAAAGCCCAAGAAAACAAGTTAACTAAATAAAAAATCTATAAATACACAGGTATTTATAAATCCAGAAATATATTCATTCCAGTATCAAATGCCTGAAAGAGCTGCTGGTAAAAAGAAACTACACCATGACAGTTAAAAATTCAAGAGGTTTATGGTCAAAGGAACCCAATGTCTCTAGGACAGTAGAAAGTAATAAATCACAGAAGAGGGTGTAAAGTTCTGTGGAAATTAGGAGGAAGAAGAGAAAATTTGCAGCTAGTGGATCATGAGCAGTTTCTTAGAGGAGGTAGCATTTGAGCTGGGCCTTGAGAAAGGCATGTAATTTAGAATCCGGAATGGGACAGGTGGGGAGCAGGAAGGGGGCAGGCTCAGACCCAGAGATGGGGAATCACAGGTCCTTCATTAGAACCACAATCAAGCAGCAAGAAATGGAAAAATGGGTTGGATTCAAAGGCCAAAATTCTTAGAGAAAGGACTTAAGAGTTTATATTTGTTCCAGAAGTTCCAGAAGAGAAGAACTCTCTTGTCTCAGAATCTCCTTAAATGTTTAAAAAATACTGACAATCCCAGGGGTACCTGGGAGGCTCAGTCGGTTGAGCGTCTGACTTCAGCTCAGGTCATGATCTCACAGTTTGTGAGTTCGAGCCCCATGTCAGGCTCTGTGCTGTCAGCTCAGAACCTGCTTCAGATCCTCTGTGTCCCCCCTACTCTCTCTGCGCCCTCCTTGCTCACGCTCTCTCTCTCAAAAATGAACAAACATTAAAAAAAAAATTACTGACAATCCCAAAGAATTTGAGTTTAGGGGTTATATTTACTGATATTTATGGTATTATAAGTTAAAACAAAATTTTAAAATATTTTTATTAATTCATTTTTAAATACAAATAATAAGCCTATTATGTGTTAATAACATTTTATGAAAATAGCTGTATTCCCCAAAGCAACAAAAGACGTTTAGTAAGAGAAGCAACACTACGTCTTTGCCAATCTCTTCAACTGTGCAGCTCGTGTCTGGAGTCTCCCATCAGTTTCTGCTCTCCATCCACTGTGATCTGTTGTTTTGGCTGAAGTACAGGAGGGAAATCCAGCCTCCCACAGACACGAAGTCAGAAAAGGAAGGATTTTCTGACTCTTTCTTTCCACTCTTCGAGAACCACAGCTGATTTTCTAGGTGAGGGAAGCGGGAGGAGGGTTCCTGAGCAGGGAACTGACAGGGTCAGACTTTGAGAAGAAGTACGTGGTGGGTTAGTTAGAATTCTTTTAATCTGAGTGTATTTCTCTTTCCCTATTCTTTCAGTCATTTCTATAAAAACCACCAGAAACGCCCACGACATAAACATGCAGATATACAGGTGCAACGCTCAAATACACTCTAGCTCACCTTTTCCTCCTTCCAATAACTTTTTGACAGAAAGCCTCGGGAGGGGCTCAGCCTGCAGCGATGACACTTTGGAGGTTGGCGTGTTTGCCCTGCTGTGAAGTAGTGTCTGAAGTATGAGACAGTCCTCCAGCTGTTTCAGCAGGAGCTTCCAGTACTCGGTGTCAAGAGAGAGGGCCTCCCAGGAGTCGGTGAGGGCCTCGGAATCAGCACCCAAGACTGTTTGGGAAAACTAACAGAAAACACACTGGTGATACTCTGGCAAAGAATCTGGATCGACATTAACTTGAATGAGCTTTTAACTTGAAAGCTGATGACAGACCGTCAGGATACATCACAAAGCAGCACACAGATGCTGGTTCACAAATGTTACTACTTGACTGGGATGGGACAGGAGGAGACGGCAGACTCTGGGGCAACAGTGAGTTGGACTCACTGCTTCGACATTTGCAAGAAGATCTGCAGTAACACCCGATTCATCCAGTGTGTACTTCAACACGTTTGCAGGGCCATCTTTGACAAGGGCCCCGGTCTCTTCGGTCAGTACTAGGTACTGGTATCTCTTCAAAATGCACTCACCAACATACAAAACGTATCTCAAACTTCTTCTCTTTCCATTATTATAAACATCTTAAGCCAGTACTCTTAAATTTAGCATAGAAACTATACTCAGACCGACAGTGATAAGTGAATGTCTACAGGCCCATTTAAGTGACTCATCCAATTAAACGCAACGTCCCCTAGAAAGAAATTATTTGATCTACCATGAGATATGAGATTTTTAAAATAAATTTGAGTGTTCAAGAGATGAGGAGAAACCACAAAGCAAAACGATCAATAGAAAACTTTTATGTGTCATTCAACACTACATCCCCTAAAACAACTTCTGTTTATAAAAGAGGGGGCAGAGGTTATAAATGCAACCGCAGAACTTGAGAGCTACAACAAAGCTCAGAAATAACGCAGCCTAACCCTGACCTCCTGCAGACGGAACCGAAGCAGGAGACACATGTTTAAGGGACTTACCACACACGAGGGGGAAGACCTCTGCCTTCCACCTGCAGGACTTTACCTCTCATGCCATGAGGTGGCAGCTCAGCTCAAATACGCATGTCATCTGAATAAACAAGTTAAGGGCAGCACCCCTCACTCCCAACAAGACAAATAAGAACCTGCTGGGCACACATTTCAAACTCCAGATGTTCCATAACACTGAAGACACTGCAGCCCCGACACAGGCTGGACAGGGACAGACCCAGCCTATCCAAACACGGGGGTGCCCCTGCCCACTTACTTTCTTCTCAGTCAGACTGTTCGAGATCTGTGCGGCAACGGAATGGCCGACGTGTGCAGACAGCAGGGCGGCCCCGTTGTTCTCAGACTGAACACAAGCCGTCCGCATCTGCTGCCACCACGGGGACACAGACTGGGAGTCCCAGGTCTCGTCGATGGCCACTGCAGGCAAAAAGAGAAAGTTAAACAAGAGACTCGGAGCTTGTCGATTTTTTCTGGTCCAATCTTTACATCAAATGTAATGCAGAAGCTGAATTCGCCAGTTATGCACTGGTAGATTTCTGAATGACTCAGAAAACAAATCCATAACTTCTCTTATCAGAATACTTATATCCCATTTATTTAGGCTGCCTTTAGTGGTCTTGCTTCTGAATCAACTGTAAATCTGTGGAATATTTTCATCATTGCTGAAAACTACTATTGAATTTTTTTTTTTAAGTTTTATTTTACTTATTTTGAGAGAAAGCAAGACTACAAGCAGGGGAGGGGCAGAGAGAGAGGGAGAGAAAGAAGCCCAAGCAGGTTCTGCACTGTCAGCACAGAGCCCGATGCAGAGCTTGAACTCACGAACCCTGAGATCCTGACCTGAGCTGAAACCAAGAGTCGGATACTTAACTGACTGAGCCACCCAGGTGCCCCACTACTACTGAATGTTTTGATGTAACGGATTATTATTCTAATGAGGCCAAAAATAATTTAAAAAATGACCTCCACCAAAGACCATATGACTCACCTCAATGAATTAAGAAAACGCATTGTTCATATCACGTTACTTTTGATGACACAAAATATAAATTTAATTTCCATAAAGCATGCTTTGAACTCACTGAGAGCTATTCATACATAAAAGAATCTCTAGAGAAATGTTTTGTACACTGTAGTCTCCTTTTATTTGGAGAAAGCATCCTCCTTTCCCAGTTTTGTGGTTTTCAAATGGTAATTAATCTTCATTTGCAAAAGCAGCAGCCTGCATCTCAGGGCCTGGGGAACCACGGTTTCCACCGTCATCTATCTTACCTCTCATCTTGCTCAGGAGGGACAGCATCGTGTGAAGACAGCACACAGACTGCGGTTTATCCAAAATATCTTTTTCCTTGGAAAGCCAAACACTTAGCAGCAGAGCCTGAAATCAAGTTTAAATAATTTTCAGTAAAATAAATAAACAAAAGGTTGCAGTTTTCAAGAGAGCACATGTGTGTATATGAGTGCTTCAGTCCTTCAGAGGGAGAAGGAAGTGGTTGCTTATTGTATCACATAACACGAGGGACAGAAAAGGTACCTTGTCTACTTAAGAGATTCCCTATCATCTGTCAGATAACTAAATTCCACCGATTCCATCTCTTCTTTGGGTTAAGCATTGCCTTCCAGGTTGAGCCTTGATTACAGAGGATATTACCAGAAAGGTCACTACCAAGTTAGCATAAATCGCTGCGGATTGGTGAGAAGCCACTCAGCCGACTGGAGGAAAGGAAGGATCTGGAGCTGTGGACCTTACCCCGCATTGGCCACGAGGCACTGTGGACTTGGCAATGGTGAACAGACATGTACAACTATCAGATTCTAGTCTTTAAATAAGGCATGAGAAACAGACTTTAAGCAAAAACACCTAAATCAACATAAGTGACTTTTAAGATGCCTATGAACCAGCATACCTACTGAAAACTCAAGTATTTGAAGGTGTATAAAATTTGTACACAGATAATTCTGAGATAATGAGAAGTTCAAAGGCACAGCACCACACCTGTCGGTACTGGTATTTGCGGAAAGCCTGGACCTTCATGTAAAAAAAAAAAAAAAAAAAAAAAAGCCTTGAAAATAAAAGGTTGATTATCACTTTAAATATATTAGTACAAGTAATTCTCAAAAATTCAGAAGAGTAGGAAGTTGAAGAAGTGTGTGAAGGAAATTAACCTATGAGAACGACCTAAGGGCCAGGAGAGGGAAGTACCTGCCAGGCATCACCCCGTTCAATTCCAACAACCCTGTGGCAGGGATAGTCTCCCACATTGTACATATGACGAAAAGTAACTTACCCGGTACCATATAGCTAATGAGTTAGGCCTAAAGTCTGAACCTAGATCTGCTGGATTCTAACACACGTTTTCTTTTCTCTTTAAAAAATTATACGTGTGCACAGGCATGTACATGCACAAATAAACTTACATGTTACATATTTTTTACAAATAAAAAATACACACTTTTAAAAGTACTGTTGTTTTCTTTTGGTTTTACTTGTCTCCCTTTTTTAATTCTTATGTCTCTCCCTATGTCAGCCTTTCTACCTCATCCTATCCAGAAACCTTTTAATTTATTTATTTTTAACATTTATTTATTTTTGAGAGAGAGAGAGAGAGAGAGAGAGCGAGCGAGCGAGCAGGGGAGGGGCAGAGAGAGGGGAGACACAGAATATGAAGCAGGCTCCAGGCTCTGAGTTGTCAGCACCGAGCCCAATGTGGGGCTCGAACTCACAAACTGTGAGATCATGACCTGAGCCAAAGTCGGACGCTCAACCAACTGAGCCACCCAGGCGCCTCCAAAACTTTTTTTTTTTTTACAACCAAATATGTGCTCTCATATTTGCCTGCGTATTCATAAGACAATGTGAACAATAATAAGTGCTAATGGTTATACAGAGCTTACCATGAGCCAAGCCACTAGTAGTGTTTTAAGTATAGCTACCCAGAGAGCATTAGGCAGGGGGGATAGCAGAGAGGTGGTCACTGCTTTATAAAAACACGGTCATATTATGCCACGTTCACTCCACTTGCCACACAACATCCTATGTAGTCCACGAAGTTTTGACTGACTTTATCCACTTATCAAGGTTATTCCCTCTCTTCCAGATCTTCTCGTAACCTCATACAACAGTGCTACTTATAACCACTAGGCAGGCTAAAAAAAAAAAAGAGTTGCCTGTAAAGGCAACAAAGACACTCCAAAATCCAGAACTTAACCATGTCAGTGCTCGATGAACACACATGCTATGAAGCAAATCAAAAGGAAATGGGGGAATTGGCACAATTTATCTTTTAGCTTCACTGTTAAGTTGCCATTAGATTCACTCTGAATAATTTCAGGCACAAAATATAGGCCCCAGGGGTATTTTAAGAGCACATCAGGTTTCTTTTTTTAATGTTTATTGTGGAGAGAGAGAGAGAGAGAGCGAGAGCGAGCGAGCATGAGCAGGGGACGGTGAGAGAGGGGGGAGACACAGACACTGAAGCTCCAAGATGTCAGCACAGAACCTGACTTCATGAAAGCAGAGATTATGACCCGAGCCAAAGTAAGAAGCTTAACCAACTGCACCACCCAGGCACCGCCCAGGTTTCTAAACACACTTACAGGTTTACAGTCTGTCTTTTCAAGCTTGATTCATCTCCTCATCAGCAACAAAGTTTCAAAGTGCTCAAAAAGATACACAACCCAAGGGATTACTGCAGACTAAATCATACTTAGACAAAGTAAATGCCATACCCTGAATCTTTCTTCATACTATAAACCCTTCTAGTTTTCTCTCCAACTAACCATTCCCCCTTATCCACCACCACCTTTATTTAGCAAATTCTAAAACAAAACAAAACAAAACAAAAACTATTCTACCGAACCCTCTTTCTTTGTCTCTCTCTCGGTCAACCCTGTTTTTCTAACTTTCTTCCACCAAGGTAATCTTTGCTTATGACACAGTGGGTGTTCCCCCTTTTTTATAAACTTTAAAAATTCCAATCAGCTTTGCTTTAGTTTGCATGTAAAAAGTCAGTATGAAAAAGAGGATGCCATGGGAGTCATCAGAACACAATGACACAATTTTAGGATCACTTACAAGCAATAGGAAGATTTTTTAAGCATCAGAAAAAAGTAAGGTAAAAGGAGAAAAATAATCAAAGAAGAGAATACAGAGATAAGATACCACATAAAAACATACACATGAACATACATAACAGAGTAAGTATACAGAAGGTAGCTGTCTCTATAACTAGTAAATACAAAATATTCTTTCAATACATCACAGTAAAAAATGTCAGCTTACTTACAACGTGGATATTCATACTATAAATGTATACTATGTTATTTCACACACAAATGTCACATCTTGACACACTACCAGATGATATGTGAGTATGAGATTTTTATTAAGAGAAACTTTGAGAGGAAATTTAGTTAATTCCTCTTTTCTAAGTCAAGCAAGATCTAAGACCTGGTAAAACCTGTACCTAAGAATGAAACAGAAAATCCCAGGAGTCCTTGGTAGCTGCTTCTAATGCTTAATGAATTAATTGTACCTCTTGCTAAGTATCCTCCTGTAATAGTAATAACCAAGATGTTTTAAACCCTTCCCTCAGCAGAAATGCCAGCAGACAGAATGTGAGGAAGCCATCTGTTAAGTCCAGTCTCTACTTAAAAGAAACTTCTCTTGTCAGTTTTTTGGAGGAGACTTATTTTCCAGTCTTTGCTGAAAACTAGATCTGTTTTGGGTTACAGATTTAAAACTTGATAATATTCCACTGAGGGTAATTAGAGTTTTAAACATTATCGTTTTAAGCATTTAAAAACTATCGGGCTATCGGTCTGTGAATTACACTAATACAGTGAAATAGTGACTAAATCAAATGTGAGTTTTACAAAAAAAATGGTAAGTATATCTAGAAATATTTCTAAACTTAAAAATATATACCGCCTAAACACATACAACCTAGATTACAAGTAGCAAATTTCTTCATGAACATAATTCCAATAAAACTATTATGAAAATATTGCAGAAAAATAGGAAGAATTAGCATTTCAAATAGTGTGTCTTCATAACAGTAATAATATATTTTGCTGAAAGACCAAACACCTTTTATTCATAATGTTTATGCGCCTAACTCCTAAAAGTCTGTTACTCCTTGAATATAATAGACATTTATTCTCTTTAAAAAAAACCTTTTAAAACTTAATAGCCTAGAGAAATATCACTGGCCAATATTTTGACACTGGCACTAACTTCTTTGGGGATGAGCAGGATGAAGCAGGACACACACTTACTACACAGGGACACAAAACCCCTGCACTTTATCTCCCCGAGGTCAGATGGCTTAGTCTCGGCCTCAACGTGCCGGCCACTATTTTCTCTGATCAACGTGACCACAATGACCAAGCAGCCTTCTTGAAAAGCTTGTCTTTTTTTTTTTTTTTTTTTTTTTTTTTTTTTTTTTTTTTTTTAATTGTATATTCCATTTCTTACTCTTAACTCTTGGGCTTTGTATTTTTTTTTTTAAAGACATTCCCCCTTCCCTGCCTATTCATACTATTAATTATACACTTTCAGTGAAAATGCCTTGTTTATTTCTCTGTACTCACGGCAGGATTTTTAAAAATTACACGGCTGCTTAACAGCTTTCAGCTATTGATAAAATACTTCTAAAAAAAAAAAAAATCTAGCCGTAAACCATTTGTCTGAGAAAAACAAGGGAAAAGAGATGAATCATTTGGAATGTGTGAAATACAATCTCTCAGATGAGTTTTTAAAATAATTTCAAATTATAACCCATTTTATAAATTCTACAGCACAATATTTCTATAGATCACAGCTTTATGGGTTTAAAGCAGGGAGATTTCCTACCTAATATGTGTCACTTGATTACCTTACAACATTTACATATTTACAATAAAGTTCACTGATTTTAAGTTGGGTGGCCAACGTATCTTCATTCCTCAAAGTTCCCTTGTGCTTCCTGGCATCAGTCTCCAACCCCCACCCTCATTCTCCAGCAAACGCCCATCTCCCCCGTCCCTATATTTTTGCTGATTCTAGTATTTCATACAACTGAAATCATACAGTGGGCAGTCTTGTTTCTGGATGTTTTCACTTAGTATAATGCTTTTGAGATTCATTCATTCATTCATTCATTCATTGCACAGTTATTCTATGTAGCAGCAGTTCACTCCACTGTATGGATACCATCGTTTATCCATTTATCAGCTGGCGGATATTTGGGTTGCTTGCACTTTGGGCTGTTACGAATAAAGCTGCTGTTAATATCTGATTCCAAATCTATGTGAGCATCTATTTTCATTCCTCTTAAATACCCAGGAGTGAGATTGCTAGAGTTTATAGTAAATTTATGTTCAACGTTATAAGAAACTTTCAAACTGTTTTCCAAAGTTGTTGTGCTATCGTTTGCGTTAGCCGTGCTGAGAGCTCCGATCAGTCCACAACTTCTTCAACACTTGATGCCATCAGTAGACTTCATTTCAGTCACCCTCTTGAGAAAGAGGCTACCGTACTTTTGTTTAGCATTTCCCTAACAGCGAATGATGCTGAACACCTTTCAGGTGATCACTTGCCATTTGTATGTATCTTTTTTGGTGATGGGTCTGTTCAAATCTTTTGCTTTTTTTTTTATTGTACTGTTTGTCTTATTACTGAGTTGTACAGATTCTTTCCTAATGTGGCTACAATTCATTTATCAAGTATAAATTCTGAAAGAGAGGCTTGCCTTTCAGTTTCTTAACAGCTGTAAAACATAGAAGTTTTAAATTTTGATGAAGTGTAAATGATCAATATTTTTCTTTTATGCTCATGCTTCTTGTGTCCTATGAAAATCTTGGCTCAATCCAAGCTGTCCCCTATGTTTTCTCCTGTAAGTATTGTAGCTTTAGCTCTTATATTTATGTTCCATTTTGAGTTAATTTTTATATATGGAGTGAGGTAAGAGTTGAGGTTCGTATTTTCCCAGTTTCTTAAACCCCAGACTTAATGCAAATAACAATTTGTTGATACTGATTAAACACAGTGTGAAATAAGAAGTCTTCTGTACTCATCCTATTTAAGCATCTCAACTTTGAATAATAAGCAATACTTACCTCCTCTCTTTTTAACTTTTTATTTCATAACAGTGAAAGATTCACTAGTGGCACAAAAAAAAAAAAGCGCTCAAGGAAGTTCCATGCACCCTTCCTTCAGCCTCCCTTAATGCTAACTTCTTATGCAATATCAAAACCAATAAATTAACACTGGTAAAATTCATAGAGTGTATTCAAACTTCACCAGTAATACATGCACCCATACGTGTGTGCATGCAATTCTACCAAATGTGTAACTTTGCAAACACACTACCACTATAAGCACTTAACTATACATCAGCACAAGACTCCCTTGTGTTAACCCTTCTAGCCATACCTGTCCCGCCCCGCTCACTCACCCATCACCTTTGGCAACCACTAATCTATTCCCGATCTCTGTAACTGTGCTATTTCATGACTGTTACAAAAACAGAATCACGCAGTACATGTCTTTCTAAGATTGGCATTTTTCCACTCAACATATCTTCCTTGCGGTTCACTAGAGGTGTTGTGTCGATCAATGGCTCAGTCCTCTTTATCGCTGAGGAGTATTCCTGGTAAAGCTGTACCACAGTTTAACCATTCCCCCACTGAAAGACATTTGTGTAGTTTGCAATCTTGGGCTATTATAAATGAAGCTGGTTTTGGGGTGCCTGGGTGGCTCAGTTGGTTAAGCATCTGACCCGATTCCGGCTCAGGAAATGCTCCCAGGGTCATGAGATGGTGGGATAGAGCCCTGTGTTGGGCCCCACGCTGGGCATGGAGCCTGCTTAAGATTCTCTCTCTCTCTCTCTCTCTCTCTCTCTCTCTCTCTCTCGCTCTCTGCCCCTCCCCCGCTCATACGCACATGCTCTCTAACAAAACCAAAAAACGCTGCTTATGAAAATCCATGTACAATCTATATGTATCTTTAACTGCTTTACTTTCTGACATACATACTGCAAAGTGACACAGAATGGAATCTGTTTTTAGAAGATTAAATGTTCAATTAAAACAATACATGACCACAGTTAACAGGCTTACGGAGGGAGATTGCCCAAATCCTGGCCGAAATAGGAGATGTTAGTAAGGATGTGAAAAAGTATGTATTTGTGCATGTAATGGGGGAGGGAACAGAAAAGGGATGACGACAGGGTCCTTTGCAGAAGGGCAAACATTTAGTGTTGTCATTCTCTACTGGATGATTCTTTTGTTTTACATTTGTTATAGCACAGAGACTAAACCCTAACCTATTTTCAAAGTTTGGGAATGTTTGATAACAACTCTGTATTGCTTTAAGGGAAGTTGATTTTGTTCTGTAAATAAGACCTTTTTTAGTTCCAATATGAACATTTCCCTTGATGATCACAACCCACTATTAATGCACGCATATGTGTCAGATTCTAAATTTATTTTAGGCCAACCATGGAACATGCATGCTACAATTTATAGAGAATTAGAGAAATAATTATTACTCAAATATGGTAACTATAAGTTTCTCTGATCATTTTTGGGAGGTTTGATGTATGTTGTATGATATGCTTTAGACAATGGCATTTAAACAAAAGACTGACACTTCCAGATGACATCAGCAGGGAAGAAGAGCATGCGAAGAAACCTTACCAACAACAGCTGAGGGCTAAGTCCAGCTGACTCCAATGTACGACACATATCCTCAGTAGAGCTTTCTCCATGCAAACACTTCCAAAAAAAGAAGCTGCCTAGTAAAACAAAAGCAAAATGCATGAACCAACAGCTACTTACCATTTGGACTAACATTCTTCCTGAACTGCAATCTAGATCCCCAGAGAAGCAATACAGCACGAGAGAAGAGAAATGAATGGTTCGGTTTGTTGACTTTATAGCAGAAGGCAAATCATTCCATGTCTAGCACTGTCTCTTTAGTATAAGTAATAATCAATAACACTTTTATGACATAGTGCCTACATATCCAGAGTATCTGATGTTAACTGAAAAACATACATTAAATTTTCTCATTAATTTACTTTTAAAACAAACTGAATCTCTGAGATGCTATGAACTCCTCCCAGGCTTTCATCCAGAAGAGGCAGGTTTCAAAGAGCAGTTTATCAGGCCACCTACCTAAAGCCACATACTCCTCTTCACTCATCTTTTTGATGTTGATCGCATCTTTCTCATATTCTAAATATTCCAGGAATGTTTTTACAGGCAACACACCATCCTTATCATCAGAGAATCGGACGGTAGTAGTTCTGGACTTTTCCTGTTTGTACTTCTCTAGTAATGCCTGGAGCTTATGCAGTTCTTTTTCATCAAGCCTCAGTAACACAGCCAAGTCCTTAAAAAATAGGAAAAAAAAAGTCTTGAATAGACCATGACTCTTTCTCTGACTCTGCCAAAGGAGTCGACCCCATTATCTGAGGTGAAATTCAAGGCTATGAGCAAAAGACGGCTGTAACGTACTCCGCTTAAAACTTCACTCTCAAATCATGAGTGGAGTGTTATTTAAATAAATTAATCTTGAAATACTACATATAACTAAAAGTACCATTTTTATATAATGTCTTGAGAATATTCTCTTCTAAAATGTTCAGATTACACCTAATCGTATTAATGTATAATAAGAAAAAAATTACAAGAGTATCAACTACAACCCTTGTGATTCTAAGAAAACTAAAGGTCTGTTTGAAACAATATTTATTAAGCAGCAAAAACACAATAAAATAAAATACTGGAAACCAATCATCACTGCATTTACATGTATATCCTCTATGTAACTCTTAGGGACACAGGGATTGAAAAGTCACAGATAACATCCTGCCAGGCTTTCAAACTATTTTTATATCCCATATGTGCAAAAACATCTCCTGATACTATTATTTTTCTAAATTAGGAATAAGCATACACAAACACACACATACGTAAGAGACCATTTTGCCACAGCAAGCACAACTTTCTTCCCCCCATGCTACCTGATAAAACTGCGCTTGTTTAAGAATGCAGCTTTCTATTTATTAAGGCTGTTGTTTTTAAAAACACGCAGTAAATTGCAAAGTGCACTGAACACACACCAGCAGTTCAATTCAATTCTATACTGAATTGATATGAGCTTATATGAACTATGTCCCACAGACAACAAAAATGATTTCAAATTTGAATTTTAGTTTTACATGTACAATATTGGCCATTCAGCCTAGAAAATGATTGTATATTTTTAAAGGATCTAAAAGTCCACAGCAAAATATAATTTTTATAATTCTTAAAAAGTGCTTTAAAACTTAAAAAAAGAACAATCAGTTAAGAAACTGATTTCTTAAATTTTCTAAATCTTTTCTATTTGCAGACTATACTGGGTCTATTAAGTGGAAATGAATTCTATAAGGGATTATTAATGACATATATTTAACTTTCTCTGGCAAAGTAGGAGAGTTTGGATCTTACAAAAAAATTAAGCACTTAAGAATCTACAAAACGTCTAGGCAATCCTACAGACATAATTAAATCAACCTGACCTTTTTGTTGTTTGAAAGATTTTATACTACTGCTGAAGTAGAAAGAAAAACAAAAGATCTCCAAAAATGGCTTTGTCGTTTATAATATAGTATAATGATTTTATACTACTGCTGAAGTAGAAAGAAAAACAAAAGATCTCCAAAAATGGCTTTGTCGTTTATAATGGCAATCACAGAAAATGATGAAGACTGTTAAAATGCTTTTATGAAATCCATCTATAATCCCAAAGATTAAAAAGATGTTAAGAATATGTAAGTGGTTTCCAAGAGAAAAATCTTGTTTTTCTGTTTAAAAATTTTTTATTCACATACGTATATTTAAAATAAAAGGCTTCCACTTTAAACCTCAATTAAGTTTCAGATACACCTGGTAATTTTCTAAAAGCATTATCAGTGACTTGACAAATAACTAAAATCGCTTAATTTTCCTTTAGAGAGAGAAGCGGAAGACAAGAGGCTTTCAGGGCAAGCGACCTGTGCCCAGTCACACACGAATCTGAGGGAAAGACAGGACAATATTTCCCTCTGTTCCCTATTAAGAAATTTATTTATTTATTATTTACTTCCTTCCCTATTGATTGCTCTGTATGGAAAGTAAGAATTTGTATACACGCCCCAGAAATGAGTAATACTGCACCGTAATGAAGATTACAAGGCGCTGCCATTTTTTAATGTTTTACAGAATAAAAACATAGAACAGTTACTATAATGAAACACTATGATGTAAGACAGAATTTTTTAAAGCATTATGTAGTATACAACAGAGCAAGCTGTAGGAATGTGTTCACAACACCACCACAGAAAACCAATCTCTTCTGTTTGGCAGAATCTTTTTTTTTTTCTTTAAAGAAATTAAAATTTTCCTACTTTAGTAAACCAAGTTTATTGTAATTGGCAAATCTTGTCAAACTTATGTGGTATGAAGTAACCTTAAAAAAATGAGAAAAAAACAATGCTTCTACGGTAGTAAAAATAGATTAATAATCAAATGTAATATCTTAGCATAAATAATATAAATTTAACATTAAGGCACAGAGAGCCAGCAGGGGGTCTGGTAAAGAAATACACCTTTATACTTCATAAAAATTCTTAATTTTCTACTTTACTATCAATTAAAACATTAAAAATAATCCAAGAGATTATTTTGTATGATGAGGAGAATTACTTACATTATCTGAGAATGGTGTGTCTGAATGAAAATCAAGGGAATTTAACTGACTGACAGACTCATAAAGATGGAGTAGTTTCAGTTTATTGGCACAAAACTGTAGCAATCCTTCATCCACAGACTCCAGTTCTAAAAAAGGTGGAGGGGAAAAAATACATTAAAGAGATCTAGTTAGCCGACTCACAAAAGATTTTTCTCTCATTAACATTCATAGTCTTATATACTTCCCTGATGTTTTATTATTTTTTTGATTTAATTTTTTTATTTTTAAAAATTTATATCCAAATTGGTTATCATATAGTGCAACGATTTCAGGAGTAGATTCCTTAGTGCCCCTTCCCCACTTAGCCCATCCCCCCTCCCACAACCCCTCCAGTAACCCTCAGTTTGTTCTCCATATTTATGAGTCTCTTCTGTTTTGACCCCCTCCCCGTTTTTATATTAT